AAATATTTAAGTGCCTTGGAACAGGGTATGGTAGTAGGTGCCAGGCACACCGGTTTGTGTCAAGAATTGCAATGCTGCTGGGGTTTTCACGCTCAACAGTTTCCTGCATGTATCAAGAATGGTCCACCACTCAAAGGACATCCAGCCAACTTGACACAACTGTGGGAAGCATTGGAGTCAACATGGGCCGGGGAGGGGGGGGGGGGGCAACTCAATATTAGGAAGGTGTTCTTAATGTTTGGTATACTCAGTGTAGTATAACGCTTATTTGTGACATTTAAAGCAGCGAGAGCAATGTCTTGGATTGAAAAACACAGATTTAAAGCAAATTGATACAATTCTTGACCTGTGAAATGTACTATTTTGATGTACTTCATGGTACTCCTAATGACAAGGTACAAGCAGGCAATGTCCCATAGTTTAAACACATCACCAGAGACTTGTAAAGACATTACTAGACTTACCTCACATTTCATAAACCACCCACTTATCCCCAAATCCCACCCAGCTGGATCATAGGCATGCTCCAAACTCATTCTGGAAGACATCCACATGTCGTTATTAGTGTACCTATTTCAGTGCCTCTCTTAAAGATGTTCAATACTAAAAGCATACAATAGAGAAACATTACATTACCAGCTGGTTAGACATCAATGACGAAATATGTTTTTCAGCCCCTTTCTTTTGAATACCTTGCTCCTAATGTTGTTAAGGATGTTGGAGTCAGCAGGACAATGGACTGGTATTGGGTTGACTGGGTTCACCAGCTGTGCCCCATTTATCGGTATTGAACTTGAGAGTGATTGAGTCCCTAACAGTACACAGACTGTACCTCACTGCCTCAATCACAGAAAAAACAAACAAAAAAAACAAAAAAAAACATGTGCAGCGCGGCTAACAGCATCCAGATGTTCATATGTTGAATTATGTCACATGCACAAATGGAGTGAGCTATCTAGGAAAATATTAGACAATCTAATCTGCAGGAAATGTGGAAAGGCTGGGGGAAGGTGTTCCTAATGTTTGGTATACTCAGTGTATACACTACCGGTCAAAAGTTTTTCAAGGGTTTTTCTTAATTTGTACTATTTTCTACATTGTAGAATAATAGTGAATACATCAAAACTATGAAATAACATATATGGAATCATGTAGTAACCAAAAAAGTGTTAAATAAATCCAAATGTATTTTATATTTGTGATTCTTCAAATAGCCACCCTTTGACTTGATGACAGCTTTGCACATCTCTCTCCAGAACCCAGTAAATCCAGAAGAAAGCATCTGGTTATTCCTTCTGGGAAGCTAACTGACCGTCAAGTATACTTCAATTGCAATAAAAGTCAACCGATCCCTGCTGTAAGACAAAATGCTCTGTTAAACTCTTTGGTTGAACACGCCCAGTCAGTAAACTGATAGGAGCAGGCATCAACAGTAAACACACAACAAAAACTGTCAATGGACTATTCAATAGTCTTCATAATTAGGAGAAAAAATTAGTGCAGATGGATGAAATGAGACAAGGAGAGGAAGCCACTTTAGACTGTTGAGATGCACCCCTGGCAAGGTGTGGCAGCTGCAGCAGCTGTTGATAGTTATTCAAGATCAGAGGTAATTGCACTGTTTGCCACTATATTAGAAGCCTTGCCCTTGTGAGGTCATCCTGAGGACTGATAAATCCAGAGAACTGAATGGAGTGCTTGAGGGAAATGGTGCGTACCAACAAAGAATGTTTACATAGCCTGCTGTTGTCTTTTTGACAGTGAAAGCTCTTAACAAAGGACTAAAACCTATATTTTCAACAATGTTCACTGTGGTTAGAGGATTGAGACTCTTTGGCTCTGTGTATAAGGCTATGGTTGCCTTTAGTGATTGCACAACTCCTGCACTTGAGGCCATTTCAGCACTAAGCCAATGCAATGAAAAGGTTCTGGAGGCGGCGCTTGTTTTTACCAACTGCTGCGCAGGTTTTCTTTCAGCCATACTGAAGTTCAACATAGCCTTTAGGTTGATGCTGTCAGTTGTCATTTCCCATCAGGACATTGAAAATGTGTGTTCAAGTGTCAATGATTGCTGTTACACCTCCAAGGCTATTGGTTCCAAAACTGGCCAAACTGAGAAAGGCTTCAAGACCACCCAATCAATTCTGCATGCTTGTTCAACTCTTGGTCAGTGCTCTCTGTCAGTTTGCTCGGCCATCTTGGCTTTCAACAGATGCATTGTACCAGGTGTCTCCGCCATGTTGGTTCTACGGGGGTACATGAGACCAATGTTCTTCACCATCAGGACTCTCACTGGATACTTTTCAGAGGCACTTGACTTCATTTGGGACCTGGGTCATTGCTTAAAGGAAGTGCTCTTCTCTCAGCAGTTGCTCCTAAAGAAATCACTCCTGTTTCTGTCCGAGGTGGCTCTATGCATCTTTACCTGACCACTTTGTCTTGGAATGAATGTTGTTTTAATGACTTGACCTCCAGTAAAGTAACTTGAGTCACGTTTATCTTTTTAAAAACCTTTTACTCTAGTTTAAGGAACCGTGCATCCTAGGACTTGCTTCACAACTTCCCTTCAAGTATTCATACTGTGTATTAAAGTATTAAAATGTTTTTTTATTCTTAGTTGAATCATTGTCTAACTGCATATTTGGAAATCTTGGCAAGTTACAGCTTACAGTATCTGCCATAATGGCAAAATCTTATGAGGGGAATTGTTAATCATGGTAATAATTGTGAGTACTTAATCCTACTGTACACTGTCAACCCCCATTTTAAAAAGACACTGAAAGTATAGTACTTGACACTTTATTGCAACAGTTCTAGTAAATCAGTTCATAAAGTGACCCACTAAGTTTCCAGTCTGAACCTGTCAAACCACTGCATTTTTAAATGAGTTACTATAGCACTTCTAATGGCACTTCCAGTATAAAACATGGTCTTTAGTCAACGTAGGTGGATACAATGGCTCGGTAAACGTAACACAGATGCAAAGACTGGAAACTACTTTTCAGGTAATTTACCTAAGTAAAGGTTTGATTGGAACAGCAAGATCTTAAGATGAAAAGTGAAATACAAAAATAAGCCAAGAACCTAATGTCCCATTGAGTTTTGTCAGTAACCCTTTTGCATTCAAACCAGTATACCACTTTACTCCTTGGCTTATAAAGACTAATTTATTAGACATTTGGGAGAGCCCACAGCTGACATGTTAAGTTCTAAAATAGCAGCTACATAGTCAAACACGCTTACTGCATTGCCCTGTAGGTGTCTTGTGGGCAGAACACTTACACACACAAACCCCTAGCAACAGCATCTAAAACTACACCTTTGGTTACTCAAAGCAAAATGAACATAGGTGGGGTTTTTTTTTATTGCATAACCCTTTTTTTGTATAGGGGACATCTTGATCCTATTATAAAGGCTATATAAAAATCAATAGAAAGGAAAATAATCGTCACAATATTGCAATCGAATTGGTATGGTGGCAGGGCATGGGTAGACAAAATGTTGGTGCAGATTACGCACTGATCAGCAACTCCATTTCACTTGGTTCTTTTGCCTCAAGTTATTGTAAAATGGAGACCCAAATTGAGCCTTCTCAGCAACAAGAAAAGCGTTGAATATTGATAAACTGTCACAATGCTAGTAACATAAAGCCCTTAGAGTAATGAATGTTGATCATTGGTCCACTAGCCTTCATCTTCAGGAAATTTATTGGGTAAATGATTCAAATGTCACTTAGACACAGTAACTGTTAGAATTTTACTGATGCATGATTATGCCAGGACAGTCAACTATTCAGATGACCAACTTGGTTTAGGCAAGAGTTTAACTCTCCTATATGTCCGCCAAACCACAATGAGTGAATCATTGTCAAGTTTCTTTTGTAACCTAGCCAATGACTCAAAACAAATAGGTGCACAATAGTAAACACAAGCAAGTCTGTAGCAAGTTTCATATTGCCCTTAAAACCTTCAAAACTTGTACAAGAGACAAAACAGAATATGTCATGGTATTTTGAGTATAACGGAGTTCTCAATAGTCTCGAACAGGTCAGTAGACTAAAGCATGACTTAATGGACACTTCTTGGAAGCACTTCAAAAAATACAATCAATATTAATCACTGTGTCTAATAAATCACATGTATTTAATGAAAACTTATCCAAAATATATATTTTTAGCATTTATTTCCCAGAGCCTCCTTTGGCCCTTGAAATGCTCAGTCTGATCGTGTGGTCGTTATGAAACAAATTTGAAGATATTTACATATTTGATTGGCTGATAGGATGGTCTAGAGCCCACCCCTTACCCAGATCAATAGTCATTGGTCTATTATAAATCAGATCACATTGTGACATGTGGGCCAAAAGTTCAATCCCACCTGTACAGGCTAAAATGTTTACACAAAAAAGGGCATTATCATCATTTTCACAATTTCAGAGTGTTATTTCTACCTCAGTGTAAAAAAAAAAAAAAAAAAAAGGAAAATCACATTAACTGCACTGCCAAAGAGTAACAGAAACATTTCAAATGACATGTTTCTCTAGCTGCCAAATAAAACTGATCCCAACACACCAAATTATTGCACCAATGAAACACCAAAAGAACCAGTAACTTCAGTAAGATTTTCATGTGCAGACTCTTGACTCTTTAGCCAACAAACAGCTGAATTAAATGTAAAACCAGCTGCAAGAATCCAACATTTAAGTTATGAGCACTGTTGTGCATCATACAAAATGGCTACAGCTCAGTCTTTTCTTCAGTTGGACAACTGCCTACAGTCCTGTAACCCACGAGAGCACCCAAATGCCAACATTACTGCCAACCCTTCCCACCACTGACAAAAGACCAATACAATTCATATCATTGATATAACAATGTCTTCAGATCTGCGTTTTGAGAGCAGACAAATATGTTTAGCGTACCAGAGTAAAAAGAGGAAAGTGTGTTCTCTTTACTCTTCTTGGTTTCTGAAATTGATTTTTGAGGCTTCGAAGGACGCGTTTCACTCTACGGTCACAGACTTTGCCAGGTTCCTTGGGCAATCCACCTGTATTGGGAGAGAAGAGTTGGACATTCCTACATTTGCCAAGTAGCAACAACCTTACGAAATGGACTCCCTATTATGAAGGCCTACAGTAAGAACCCAACTCTGTGACAGTGCAGTACTCACGTCAAAGCCCCTGAGCACGGCCAGGTGGAAGGAGAGCAGCTGCAGGGGGATGACACTCAGGACGCCCTGCAGACAGTCCACACAGTGCGGCACTTTGATGGTGCGGCTCGAGCTCTTGGCGGTCTCGTAGTCATCCTTGTCACAGATCACGATGGGTCGGCCCTGTAAACCAAACAAATGGCATTTTGTTTCCAGCACAACACTGCATGTCATTTCCTTTAACCTGGAGTTCAGTGTTGAAATGTGAATGTGATACTTTGGTCCTTCCCTGAAGAATAGCTTTGTTGACTTTCATGTCTCAAACCCAAAGCTTAGGTCCACATATGTGGTAGATTAGTGAGAGTGGTGATGTCATGTAGAAAATAACTCCTCCCTTGCACTTTGTGGTGAATGTGAAGACCATTTGATATTACTGTACTGTGAAAACAAATCTAATGTGTAAAGTATGTGTGCATGAAGCACTTAATATCCATATCTTTGAGTTATATTTATTTTTAAACTGGAAGGTAGGTGGTCACTTCAACAGCTAGCTGACAGATCACTACCAGAAATCTAAAATGTTTATTGAAAGTGAGTTTAACAACCAGATAACATAATTGGCAATGGTTTACTGTGGTTCCAACCTTTCAACAGTTGGGGGCGTGGAAAGCTAAATGGTTTATTGAGATATTGTGTGTCCCCGTTGTCAGTTCTTACCGCGCGGGCCACCACCTGCTGCAGTGCGTTCTGACACTTGGTGTAGGTGTGGTCTCTCATGATGATCATGATGACGGGCATGAGTTTGTCGACCAGGGCCAGAGGACCGTGCTTCAGCTCCCCGGCCAGGATGCCCTCTGAGTGCATGTACGTGATCTCCTTGATTTTCTGGAGAGGAGAGACAAACACCTCATTCAGATAGGAAACCACTCACTGTGACTCCCATACACATTCAGGGACACACAACCTCTGAAAAACACCATACTGACATGAGATGACATAAGATGAGTACGTATATCTTATCTTAAATTCTAAAAAGGGAACAGTAGACTGGCCTGGGAACACTCGGTCAGATCCAGGAGTACAGCACACTGACCCAACGCTTTGTGTGCCTATGTTTGAGATACTAGAGAATTGGCAATCAACAAACTTGAAGAATTCGCAAATAGTGTGGAGAGTGGTTGCAATTATGCAGAGACGTTAATTTTTTCCCTTGTACTTTTTACCCCTTTTTCGTGGTATCCAATTGGTAGTTACAGTCTTCTCCCATCGCTGCAACTCCCGTACGGACTCGGGAGAGGCGAAGGTCGAGAGCCATGCGTCCTCCGAAACACAACCCTGCCAAGCCGTACTGCTTCTTGACACAGTGCTCGCTTAACCCGGAAGCCAGCCTCACCAATGTGTCGGAGGAAACACCGTACAACTGGCGACCGTGTCAGTGTGCATGCGCACGGCCCGCCACAGGAGTCGCTAGAGTGCAATGGGACAAGGACATCCCGGGCGGCCAAACCCTCCCCTAACCCAGACTATGCTGGGCCAATTGTGCGCCGCCTCATGGGTCTACCGGTCACAGCTGGCTGCAACACAGTCCGGGATCGAACCCAGATCTGTAGTGACGCCTCAAGCACTGTGATGCAGTGCCTTAGACCGCTGCGCCACTCGGGAGAGAGAGACGTTTCTAAGTCAGTCTAATGAGTTGCTGTGATTAAAAACACTTCAGCAGAAATTCCAGCAGGCTAGACTCCATTAGGGCTTGCGTGAGGCTGAGGCAGAACAGTTATTGTGGGCTATTGGAAAGTGAAACAACTCTGGGCCAATCTTCTCCTGAAGTATCTTATCACACTGATCATAATCTCATTTAGGAGTTGAGAATGGAGATTCCTGTAGAATACAGGTCTGAAGAGACAACATTAAGTTTTAGGATGCGGAGATGGAGGTGGGCATGCTGACCAGTGCTCCCTCCAGGCAGGTGGCATAGTGGTAGCCTCGGCCCATGATGAGAACACTCTTCTGCTGGTACAGCTCTGCTGCCAGGCTCTGGATCTCATCATCCAGACTCAGCACCTCCTTTATCAGGTCTGACACACAAAGAGAGGGAGGAAGGAGGAGCAGCAGGGAACACACAGAGATAGCGAGACAGGTACAAAGAGGAAAAACAGTCATCTTAGTTCAAGGTTATTAAATGAGATAACCCTACAAAATATTCCTCTTCAATTCCTCTTCTTGTGGTGGTATATTTGGGAGAACAACACGTCAGAAAATACATTTCATCAAACAAAACTCCTGGATGAAAGACAATACAGTAACACCCATCCTATGAAAGTGCAGCAGGCCACTGTTAACAGGTCCTGGAGACTGGGGTCAATGGGGGCTTGGGTCAGGAAGAGGAGGGAGACAGAGCAGTGTGTGGCCAAACATTCCTAACCTCATTAGTTTAACATAAGGCTATGGGTCCAGAGGAGTGTGCCAGGGAAAACAGCCAGGAGTGACCCAGCTGCTGAAACCTCCTCCCTCCCCACTGTACGCTCTTGTTCCCTCGCTCTCTCTCTCGCTCGCTCTCTCTGAGGATACCTCCACAGCACAGTCATTGCATTAGCTCGCTGATATCAACGCATATTGTTGAAACAAAAACAGCCCAGTTGGAGGAACATGGCTGCCAGATGACAGACAGACCGAGGAGGCCCACTACAGGCTTCCCATCCCTCTCTCTGGCTGCGCTGACTGTGACCATTACCTGCTGCTGTCTATACTACAGTAGGTCAGTAGAGTAAGTGTGTTGAATAATCTGTACATCCCTTTGAGTATCACACATATTGACGTTAATGCTCATTAACAGCACAGTGCAATGTCTTGGTAGATGTGTGTAGGGTCTGGTCTACCTGGCAGAACTCTCAGGCCCTGGATGATCTCACGTCGCCGTGGCTGCATGGAGATCCTGTCGTCACACATCAACAGCGCAAACATGATCAGAGCCACAAACTGACTGGTGTAGGCCTGCAAAACAACAGAACAGACAGACATAATGCATGCTTAATGCTCCAGGAAGAATCAGACAGTACAGGACACCTTGAGTTCCCAGGAGTCTCCGAGATGCTCTTCTCTCTCAGACAGGCGAGAGGTGATCATCACACCTCTAGGGTTGCTGGTTCTAAAAAGGAATCACAGTCTTCCCTCTCTCCATCCTGGGCCAGAGACGGCGGAACCCCACGTTTAGCAAAGGGCCTGGGTTGCCAGATCCCCAGTTTACTTTGCAGTACAGTTATTGGAGCAGTAGAGTCTTGTCCACCTCCTCTGGTTGCCAGCTCCACAGTAATAATGTGCACCAGATGAGAAGTGGATGGAGAGCTGGGCTGCAGGATGGGCTGGACACAGTTAGGCCCTCTACTGCAGGACAGGACAGGGGAGAGCTAGCACAGCATTATGAGGACACAATCTGGCAACACTATAGATGAACACATCCCCTGACAATAAGACAATAGGGCAGTAGGTAGCCTAGCGGTTTCAGTGTTGGGACAATAACCGAAAGGTCGCTAGTTCGAGTCACCGAGCCAACAAGGTGAAACATCTGTCTACGTGCCCTTGAGCAAGGCACTTAACCCTACTTGCTCCAGGGCCACCGTTTATAAAATGGCAGACCCTGGCCGTAATCCCACGCTCCGAGGGTGTCTAAGGGGGAGTTGGGATCTGCAAAAAAACACATTTCAATTGTACAAGTATAAGCCCCCACCAAATTATTATTATTATTACTAGCTAAACAAACAGCACAAAAACAGCTGCCCTAACTACAGTAGAAGAAAGTAGAACCATGACGCGCTTCTCTTTCTTACTTCTGAAAAGTGTCACCACCACTCACACATATGTTAGAAGGCTCTCCCTACCCGTTTAGGAGATTTAAATCAACGTTCTTCAAGAGGAGCCAAGCCATTTGACAGGACCTACTGGACGCGGTGGTGCTAGCATCTAAAGCCAAAGGCATGGTTGTAAAACTTTCACACAGCTATTTTCCTTGACAGCACTGGAACCACAGTCCCTCACAACTCTGACAGTCCTAGCCATCCACTCAGATGTGGCAGTGCATTTAATCCTGTTAAAACCCCCATCACTCCATCCAGAATGTGGAAAGAGGACAGTGGCTCACGCTAGCCTGTCACACACACTGATGCAACCATGTCCTCCTCAGGCAATACAGCATGATGAATAGTTACATAAAACACGTAAGGGTACAAGCATGCTCCAGGTTCTATTCAGATTAAGACCACAGATGACTCTCATTTGCTTCCATTCACGCCCTCAATATCTATTGTTTAGCTAAGTGGAGACGTGTATTCAAGAAGTGGTGCCGTCTCAACTCCAGCCATCCCCTTCATTCTCCCTGACCTAGTTTAGCAGGCATAGTTGTGGAGCGCCTCAATTCTGAGACGATTCATAAGAACAAGACATCACCAGAGGCATCCAGTTAAATGTCCCCCAGAAAGTTCATCTGAATAATATTAACATTATGAAATGATACCACAAACGGAGACAGCAGGAGCGTGTATTGAGCCGTGGGTGAAATACATCATGTCCTCTATGATGTGATGAGCTGGGCTGGGCTGGGTGGGCCTGTGCCAGACAAGCAGTAAAGGATGGCGTCTTTGAGGCATGCTCTCCAGGCTTTCTGCTCTGTGCTGGGGCCTTGGAGCTGCCGAAGAGTCCCTGAGCCAAGCCCGAGAGCCAGAACAGGGAGGGACCGGACTCTCTTTTTCTACCCCCCCCCCCCCCCCCCCCCCCCCCCCCCCCCCCCCCGCAGCTGGGACTGGGACTCCACTGCTGAGTGGAATGAACTCCAGTCATCTGCAACCCCACTTTGGCAACCTGTAGGATCAGGGCTCATAGTAGAGGAGGGAAACCATGGATCCTTACTTTTTACAAGAGTAAAGATGAGAATATCAGGCACTATGGGTTCTGTGTAGAGCAGTGGAATATAGCAGTTTTAAATAACCTCTCTCTTCCAAAAGGATCCAGACACTAATTTCAGATGAAGTTCTCGAATTTCAAGGGAGAGAGGGGTTAACCACGTGCTATGCACTGACATTAGCGCCCAAGTGCTTCAGGGTTTGCATTAACTATACAGAAACCACCAGTGCAGCATATTGGCATGAACCTCATGTCCTTGCAATAATAAGTATACATGGGTGATTATATAGACCACGCCATGTGAAAAGGACTCTGAACTTTATAACGCTGTTCTACCTAATTGAGAAGGAGACCATTCCATTAATCTCCAACAACCCTAATGCAGTCTGACCAACTGAAACACTCAGGAGTGGGATAGGAGGAACTTCCCCACCCTGAGAGAAGACAAATAGTCTATCCTGAATGGAAGTTTCCCAGACACTTCAACCTGCCTGCATTTTTTCCCACCATAGAAGTAAAAGAAGTTGCCCATAGCTGAGTATGGTGAAGGGAAGGTTTCCTGTTTCAACAGCTGAGTGTCTACTGGGCAGTACACTATGTGAATTATGAGAGTCAGTATGGGAAAGGCATCAGCCTGGAGAAGTGCTACACTTTGAGCAGCAGCGAGCCTGTCCCCTCACCTTGGTGCTGGCCACTCCTATCTCTGGCCCAGCGTTGATATGCACCCCACAGTCTGTCTCTCTGGAGATGGAGCTGCCCACTGTGTTGGTGACGCCCACTGTCAGGGCTCCTCTCTCCTTACAGTAGCGCAGGGCCATCAGGCTGTCTGCTGTCTCGCCTGCACACAAAGGTAGCGATGCAATCAGCACTCAGGATAGATACTGGAACAGGTTATCACTACTTGGACTATGTGTATATACTGAATACAATATCAGATTCTATAGACCGGAATAATGGATATCATCAGGTCTATACGTTCAGTATCAATACATGAAGTTAGCAGTAAAGAGTTAAAGAACTTGCTTGTATGAGACATTGCTGAAGCTGTATTGTGTGGGGAAATGAGAACAGACAAAGACAGACAGTGGCAATGTTCAGGTCCATGAAGAGACAGCAATCCTCCCACCTGATTGGCTGATGAAGAAGCAGACGTCGTCACGGAACACTGGTGTGTTTCTATCCAGGAAGTCGCTGGCCAGCTCCACCATAACAGGCAGCTCAGTCAACTCCTCCAGTACCTGGCGAGTCTGCTGGGGAAAGATCAGCACTGTTTATCAACACTGGATCACACAAGACATCCACACTGAAAAACATGTTTCCTTGTACAAACCAGCCTTAGGCTCTAGTTGACTCCATTTTATGCTGGTAATATATCATTCCTGTATTATAGAAAAGGTCATCTGTTACTCACCGCCACCCCAGCATGGTAGCTGGTGCCACAGGCGATGAGGATGAGCCGTCGACACCTCTGGATCTCTTTAATGTGATCCTTCAGTCCACCCAGGGTTACTAAGGATACAAACAATCAAAATACAGTGATCATACAGTGAGGGAAAAAAGTATTTGATCCCCTGCTGATTTTGTACGTTTGCCCACTGACAAAGAAATGATCAGTCTATAATTTTAATGGTAGGTTTATTTGAACAGTGAGAGACAGAATAACAACAACAAAATCCAGAAAAACACATGTCAAAAATGTTATAATTGATTTGCAATCAGAAAGATTTCTGGCTCCCAGGTGTCTTTTATACAGGTAACGAGCTGAGAGGGAGTGCTCCTAATCTCAGCTTGTTACCTGTATAAAAGACACCTGTCCACAGAAGCAATCAATCAGATTCCAAACTCTCCACCATGGCCAAGACCAAAGAGCTCTCCAAGGATGTCAGGGACAAGATTGTAGACCTACACAAGGCTGGAATGGGCTACAAGACCATCGCCAAGCAGCTTGGTGAGAAGGTGACAACAGTTGGTGCGATTATTCGCAAATGGAAGAAACACAAAATAACTGTAAATCTCCCTCGGCCTGGGGCTCCATGCAAGATCTCACCTCGTGGAGTTGCAATGATCATGAGAACGGTGAGCAGGAATCAGCCCAGAACTACACGGGAGGATCTTGTCAATGATCTCAAGGCAGCTGGGACCATAGTCACCAAGAAAACAATTGGTAACACACTACGCCGTGAAGGACTGAAATCCTGCAGCGCCCGCAAGTTCCCCCTGCTCAAGAAAGCACATATACAGGCCCGTTTGAAGTTTGCCAATGAACATCTGAATGATTCAGAGCAGAACTGGGTGAAAGTGTTGTGGTCAGATGAGACCAAAATCGAGCTCTTTGGCATCAACTCGCTGTGTTTGGAGGAGGAGGAGGAATGCTGCCTATGACCCCAAGAACACCATCCCCACATCAAACATGGAGGTGGAAACATTATGCTTTGGGGGTGTTTTTCTGTTAAGGGGACAGGACAACTTCACCGCATCAAAGGGACGATGGACGGGGCCATGTACCGTCAAATCTTGGGTGAGAACCTCCTTCCCTCAGCCAGAGCATTGAAAATGGGTCGTGGATGGGTATTCCAGCATGACAATGACCCAAAACACACAGCCAAGGCAACAAAGGAGTGGCTCAAGAAGAAGCACATTAAGGTCCTGGAGTGTCCTAGCCAGTCTCCAGACCTTAATCACATAGAAAATCTGTGGAGGGAGCTGAAGGTTCGAGTTGTCAAAAGTCAGCCTCAAAACCTTAATGACTTGGAGAAGATCTGCAAAGAGGAGTGGGACAAAATCCCTTCTGAGATGTGTGCAAACCTGGTGGCCAACTGTCCTCTGTGATTGCCAACAAGGGTTTTGCCACCAAGTACTAAGTCATGTTTTGCAGGGGGGGTCAAATACTTATTTCCCTCATTAAAATGCAAATCAATTTAACATTTTTGACATGCGTTTTTCTGGATTTTTTTGTTGTTATTCTGTCTCTCACTGTTCAAATAAACCTACCATTAAAATTATAGACTGATCATGTCTTTGTCAGTGGGCAAACATACAAAATCAGCAGGGGATAAAATACTTTTTTCCCCTCACTGTATGTCCCTTTTCTTGGTATGTATTCAGATAGAAATTGATCATGAGGATACCACCTTGATGGGTATAATGACAGACATGAGAGGGTCATGGCGTGTATTGTGTAGTAACTTGAGTGTTTTGTGACTTGACTTTTGTGTATTACACTGGAACGGTCATCTCACCTGTGTTGTCATCGAAGTTGACCCTTCCTCTCATGGTGTTGACCACAGACTCTGGCTGTTCAAAGATCTCCTTCTGCATAAAGGAGCTGTAGTTACCTAAAAAGTGTTCCAAAAAACTTTAGATCAGAGTCCTCAACAACAACATCACTTCAATCCTGTTGGCTTTGCATTTTTATAAAGTGTTAGGCATTTTGTAAAGGTTACTGTTGACGCATAATTACTACTAAAAGGAAGCCAGCCTGGAAAACATGTTGTTTTGGGCTCTAATTAAGTATTTTATAGCTGTTGGGAGGTAAATAACACTGGAGATACATTTTGACGGTAATGATCAGACATTTATCAGTCGTCTTTTTTTATTTTGGGGGTAGATCAGCTTTAATATTGCAGATAGATTGTAACTTCCATCAATGTAATTGTCTGCATCACTTCCAAGTCATGTCTTGACTAAATAAAATAAGCAAGAGCCAACAGGGAGATTGTTGTTTCCTTGCACGGCCCTTTGTGACAATGAAATACGAGTGTTTTGCAGCCTGCCTCTGCGCCAACAGTAATTTAGGTCATATGAATGAGGTTATTTCAGCAGAGCTCCTGGAATGGAGGCTGAGGAGAGAGAGATAGAGGCAGGGGCTTTAATGATAGGACCACAAAGGATTGTCTCCTGAAACTGACTGGCAGTGTATTAGCACCCTCTGCTGGAGACATGGGGAGCAGCAAGCTCAATATAAAGTCTGAGGAGGCGAAAATAGGATTCTGCTCTATTTTTCAAGCGGTGCTGTCGTTGATGACCAATCACAGTAGAAAACGTAGCCTACATGGTGATATGTCAACAAGTACGTCCAACAGCAGGACCAGCTAACTTGCCCACTCTAGCAAGCTAACATGATCAGTTTACAGAGTCACGTTTAACAATAAAAATCATTATTTACTAATCAGTTGTTTGGATTAATCATTTCTGTTGCATTCTGCCGGCCCCAGTAAATATGACCCTTGTATAGTGTACTGATTCTGACTGTATTGACAATGATAATCAGCAATTCCAGGCATTCTTGGGTTCTCAAAGTTCTAGTAGCACCATCAACATCATCTTTACAGAGGGTTGACCAATGACAGTGCTGTGCCCCCAGCCCTTACCCTTCATGATCTGCTGCAGCTCCATCTGCAGGGTCTGGATGGCGCGGGCAGGGTGGTCTCCGGCTGTACGCTTGATGCGGTGGATGGTGAGCCGTCCGGCCGTCACTGCTGCCACGTCATCATCCTCTAGGAAGATCACACGGTTGGTGTGCTCAATCACCGCGCTTCAATGACAACAGAGCAACAGTGAATCCAAGTTAATTATGTTGTTAATTCCCACTTTCCTAGGAGAAAACATTCACCAAACAATTGTCTAGACTGATTCTAAGAGAGTACAGTTCATCCAAAAAAGACATCTAACATTGCATTAGTGGGATATGAGTAATATAGAGAATAACAGGGTGAGGAGTCTGACCTGGCATCAGAGGCAAAGTAGTACTCCACAGACTTCTTGTCCTCAGCGAAGAGTGTGTGGCAGGTGTCCTGCTCCATCCTGGGCAGGGTGGGGCAGCCCTTCTTGTCCTTACCAGCTGGGGAGATACAGTACAGTGTATTAGAAATACAACAGCTTATGGCTGCTCATCTTCCATTCTGACCCACTGATATTGAGAGCAGTTACCTTAATAACTTACATGATCGGTACAGGATAGGAATGTGATCTGTGGATAGCTTGTGGTCACTTTTCACCCCAATAAGCAGAGGACCTCCCCTCCTATTTACATACAAACATAAACAATTACAATCATTACATAAAATTAAAGATGCATGTTTAATGGATAGTATTCCTTTACAATTCAAGGAGTATCTAAAAATGCAGTAGCAGTGTACCGGGTGCCTACAGCCTCTCCAGGGTAATGGACACTTTTGAAGACCAGGGCAAAAGCTCCTTCCTAGGAGACAAGATAGAACAGTGTTAATCATGAGACAGGTCACAGGGCCTTGTCTCTGGACAGTTGTGCTCTGTAGATGAACAGGCTCTTACCAGCTGCTGGGTCACTCTCTCCACCAGAGTAGCAAAGCGGAGGTCTTCACTCTCACGGTTGTCATACATGTACTTCACCAGCTTGGCAATGGTCTCTGTGTCCGTCTCGGACTCAAACTCATAACCCTTGCTCTCCTGTGGAATGGGAGAGAGTCAGTCATGGAAGTCTGATAACTCTTGCTGGTAGCCTTGGTTAATGAAAGAAACCGACTGCCTTTGACAAAAAATGTAATATGTTGAAATGTTGCTCTGCTCACCAGGAATTTCCACAGGTCTTTGTAGTTTGTGATAATTCCATTATGAATGACAATGAACTCTAAAAAAAATACAAAGATAAACACATATACTTTAATAGTAAACATCCCTCGTTACTCTATATAGTCAGAAAATGTGAGACTACTACACCTAGCAGAATGTGATGCCTATACAGGAGAGAGGGCCAAATAGTACTACAAGTTTAAGGAATGTCTGTGGTACTGACCATTGCTCTTGTCAGACCTATGTGGGTGGCTGTTGACAGGGCTGGGGGCACCATGGGTAGCCCAGCGAGTGTGGGCGATGCCAAGGTGGACATCAAACTCCACATCCATGTCCATGTCCTGCTGCTCTGTGGGGCAAACACAAACACTGTTGAAAGGCAAGCTTCATAAATGAATTGACGTGTACCCAACATAAAGTAGGTTTGAGCCATTGGTATTGTATGCATTATATTTATTTCAGTACAATCCACTTATCTACAGTAAACATCCTTACAGGGCATAAGCCCTCCAAGACACATCAAATGTAGTCTTACTGGTGATCTCATCGTCAAGAGCCTTCACTTTTCCGGTCTGCTTGATCAGCTGAATAGACCGGGCATTGGCCTCCCATTCCTTGCCGTTCCCTCCATCAATTCCAACACCTGGCAAAAAGAGAGTCTTATTGCTACAGAGTACAAAAATATGCCTTTGTTGTGTGATTTTGTAACAGTTATTTCACACATGCTACAGTTTGACAGAGCATGAATTTAACCCTGACTAGATTGGACAGTCCTGCTCAAGACAAGGGCATACAGTGAGGCCAATGGACAATCATGACTCCTGTAGATAAGCAGAATAACTGAGGCCTGCCGACAGGCCTACAAAAAGGCAGCTGATAAACACGCAGACAGTGTGTTGAGACAAGCCATCTCCATCAGCTCACCGGCAGAGTCGTATCCACGGTACTCCAGACGGAGCAGGCCTTTGAGGAGGATCTCCAGGATCTCCCGGCGAGTCCGTGGTACATGGTAGTTCAGATAGGCAAAGATTCCTTACAGAAGGAACAGGGAGACAACAGATTTCAACTAGGAAGTCACAAACAATGATATAAGACAAAGGAATTTCACTACAACTGTTTTAAGGGATTAATTGAACAAAGCCTAATATTGGATATTACTGTTTGTTTTTGGTGGTCTGTGATTAGGTCAATAGAGACCAAATAAAACAACATGCATGCTTTCTGTTCATATATGCCGATTGTGTCGGAAACGCTGAAGGTTCCATTGACTAGCTAGCTGATGTAATCTGCAGGCTGTTCAATGATTGGCTCATTACAATTCCCAGCAACCTCAAAACAACAGCTACCCCAAGGATTTCTATAGGTGAAAACTTTCAAACATTAACACAAGTAAAACATTTGGAGCCATTTGTCAACATATAGGAATTGCAGCTTGCCACTGACCTCTGTAATAAATCAATTTAGCCTACAATCTGACCTCAAACTATTTATACACTGACATGTCAACAGACATGAACAGAAAACAATTCAACCGCTCATGGATTGGGCTGACGTTTCAGGTCTGGTAGCTGGGCCTGATGGGAAACAGTGGTTCTGTGTGTAACTATACAGTAGTTCACACACCCATCTGTTCCTGAGGGTACATCCTGCCCTGGATGTTATCTGCAGTTTTTACACGGGAAGAGGGAAGTCGCCTTGAGAAATGGACAGTGGGAGACTCAGTGGAACAGAGTGTTCTAGTGTTGGGGCAATATGTTGACAGAAGGATCAGGTGCAAGACACTACACACAGAAGCTATGATTTTGTGCAGTTCAGAACTCCTCTGAGAAGAATATGATACCAATTGAAAACAGTGCCATTTATTACAGACATGCCTGGCTGAACAGAGGTTGGCCTACATAAGTCTATTTGTGCCCAATTACCTGTGCCCCACCCCATTTTCTTCATGACAACCATCAACCACCCACATAAGCTCAAAACAAGAACAATGGCAGAAGGTTTCAACAAACCTGTCAAAATAAACTAACCTAAATGAAGGCCAAGAGACAATAGCTATTATTTAGGCTAACAAACAATGACAAATTCCCAATTAGATGAGGATATAAAGGGGCGGTGATAAAATAGTGTGACTATGTACAGGGGCACTGCAAAGGAAGCAGTGCAACAGAGCATCCATTGAGAGCAGCTGGGCACAGGGCGATGGAGGAAGATAGCAGGGGGGTGAATGGGCAACGCAAGGTGGAGGCAAACAAGGCTCAGCTTTGTTCAGAACGAGGGTTAACAAACAGAGTAGGAAAAATAAGGATCTCATAAAATCTCAGTGCATGTCAGTCTTCCCACCATTCTTTCCTTAGGAATACGCCTGCAGCAGTTCAGTATAATGACCATCTATTTTGGGCATTTTTGTGACAGAGGAGACAGTGTTCATTATCACGCCCGTGTCTGATTGCCGCTCCTGCTAATGGACATCATAGTGCTAAGTTCCCCACCACCCCCCAAAAGAGAATCATCCACACTATTTATACTGGTTCTGGCTGGCTATTCAAAACACAGCCGTGCGCTTCAGGAGCTCGTTGTAGAGTCAGCAGATGAGAGATGAAGAGCGGAGAACTAATCCATCACTATTCTAATATTCAGACACTGACAGCTTACAAAAGTAAACATACAGTGGCTTGCAAAAGTATTCACCCCCCTTGGCATATTTCCAATTTCCTTGCCTGTTGTAAGGAATTAAGATGAATTTTTGGGGGGGTTGTATAATTTGATTTATAATTTAATGGTGTTCAAGTTTCTGATATATTTTTTTATAACCTAACCCTGATCTGTACTTCTCCACAACTCTGTCCCTGACCTGTTTGGTGGTGCCCCTTGCTTAGTGGTGTTGCAGACTCTGGGGCCTTTCAGAACAGGTGTATATATACTGAGATCATGTGACAGATCATGTGACACTTAGATTGCACACAGGTGGACTTTATTTAACTAATTATGTGACTTCTGAAGGTAATTAGTTGCACCAGATCTTATTTAGGGGCTTCATAGCAAAGGGGGTGAATACATATGCACGCACCACTTTTCTGTTATTTATTCTTTAGAATTTTTTGAAACAAGTAATTTTTTTCATTTTTCTTCACCAATTTGGACTATTTTGTCCATTACATGAAATCCAAATAAAAATAAATTTAAATTACAGGTTGTAATGCAACAGAATAGGAAAAACGGCAAGGGGGGTGAATACTTTTGCAAGACACTGTAGCTTCCCATAATTTTAAATCCCCCTATTGACCTCGTACCTCATTCGAATCAATGTGGGATAATCACTGTCTATCATCATCAGAACCAATAGTCGTCTATATTCTAGCAAGTCAATGAATGAAACAGTGCGATTTGCGCAGTGCGTGCGTTTTGTCAGTCTCGTAGCTAGCTAGTTTGTAACCTGATGAAAAGAGGGCTAGTTAGCCAATGTTCGATAATAAATCCTAGTACAGAGTGTAACGTAACATACCAAGTGGTAACATCAATGACAGGAATTATGGAGCAATAAACTGTCAATCAAGTAGCTAGCAATGGCTAGCTGGCTAGTTAACGTTAGCTAGCTACACTGTTAGCTAGCTACTTATTGGAAATGGTTGTGTAACACACGGTTAATACACAGCAAAACGCTTAGCCGCCTTCATGACAATTTGTCTGATAACATTGTTTGCTATAAAACATTCTCTGATCCAGCCAATTTACAAGTTCACTTACAAGATATGAATTCAATCAGCTAACGTACAGTAACTAACTTGTTTGTCTGGCAAACAAACTAAGCTTTCTCTTGAGATGGAAGCTCAGCTGTGTCAGACTGAAAATAGACACTTCCCCAAAACCAGTTCGGTGTTAATCTCACAAGTACAAATATTTCATTTATTCTAGCTACTCACCACACATGTCTGCGTCTCTCTTGCAAACTAGTTAGCTGTCTTCTTCTTCAGTGGGGTTTATCGGCGCTTGGCATCCAATATTATGGTGCATTACCGCCACCTACTGTACTGGAATGTGGGCCAGAGACGGGAGAAACTAAATCCTACCTGCCAACCCCGTTTCTCTTAAAAAAGATAACAAAATATTTGAGACTATTTCTAATGACGTTCTGCTCAATATACTCTTTAAACTAATTTCCTGTATCCCCTTCTCCCTCATACTAAATCTCATCCTCTCTCTTTCCCTCTGATACTGCCCACACTGTAGCAATACATGCTCCACAGTCTCTATTTCCTGACAATAATCACACTTTCCTGATGGATGCTTTCCTATCACGTTAAATGTCTTATTCAACTGTCTGTGTCCCACCCTTAATCTTGTAAAAATTGCCTCCTCTCTTCTGTCCCTTCCTGCCGTCCTCCCCTCCCCGACTTTCCTCTGTACTTGAACTAAATGCCTTCCCTTATTATTTATATTCCACTGCTCCTGCCATCTCTGCACCATCACTGTATATATCAGTATTTTTGCCTCTGCCTTGCTCATTGACACTTCAACATCCCACTACTAAGTGCTTGTTTAGCCTGTTCATCTACTGCCTTGTTCCCCTCCACATGGGCTGGGACCCAAGTAAATCTTATCTGAATACCCATCTGTTTAATCCTGCCATGGGTTTGTAGCACCTCATAAAGCAGGTCTTGTCTGCTACGTGAGCTAAAGGACTGGAGACTCATTAACACTGCACGAGTCAGAGCAAATAACTATTCTGTCTGGCTTAACTTCCTCCACCCACTGAAAGGCCAACAGTATGGCCATCAGCTCCACCATATATACAGCCAGATGATCTGTAATACGTTTCCTGACTTCCACCCCACACTCCTGCATTTACCCACACTCCTGCACTACAAAGGCTGACCCAGTACGTCCTGTCTTTGGATCTTTTGAACCATCTGTGTAAATGGCCATAAAATCCTGATACACAGTTTCCAGACGTCTCTTAAAGAAATCAGCTGGATCAACCCCCTCCCTATCTTTCTGTAGTCTCTCCAACACTTCTAGATCAACTACTGGAGGCGGGAGTAGCCATGGTGGATTTACAGAAATAACTACCGTTGGACTAAACTCCTTTCCATACAGTCCCATCTCCTTCGCCTAGGTATTACCCACCCACCCAAAGCTCGTGTTCAGTCTTCGCTCATGTTCCCAGCATGCCTGTAAAATCCCTTTCGCAGGATGAGACACCCCATGTCCTTGTAGGTTGACCCAATAATTCATTGCCAGCTGCTGTCTCCTAATCTGCAACGGTATATCCCCCATCTCCACCTGCAATGCAGCCACTGGGGATGTCCGAAACGCCCCACTACATATTCTGAGTCCTTGCCCCTGTATGACATCTAGCCTTTCCAGTGAGGTCCGGGCTGCCGAACCATATGCTATACTGCCATAGTCTATTACATATCGGATCAATGTAACATACATGGTTTTCAATGAGGAACTCCCAGCCCTCCACTCCTTCCCCGTCAGACAGCGCATCACATTTAGCGCCTTCTTACACTTTCCCACCACTCTCTCAATATGTTCTGCTCAGGTCAGTCTAGTATCAAAGTATACCCCAAGGAACCTGAAGGCCCCCACCCTCTCCAAGTTTCTCCCATATAACCTCAAGCATACCTCATCTCCCACCTTCCTCCTGGTAAAGAACACTGTTTGAGTTTTCTCTACAGAGAACCTGAATCCCCACATTAATGCCCACCGCTCTATCTCATCAATTGCTTCCTGTACCTTCCTGACTATGCATGGCACATTTCTTCCCCTCTTCCATAAGGCACCATCATCTGCAAATAACGACCTCCCTATATCCGGCTGTACCTGAGAGTAAACATCATTGATCATGATTGAGAACATAAAATTAAAAAAAAAAAAAATATAATATCCAAAGCGACTAACAGTCATGTGTGAATAAATTTTTACGTATGGGTGGTCACGGGGATCGAACCCACTACCCTGGCGTTACAAGCGCCATGCTCTACCAATTGAGCTACAGAGGACCACATGCTCCCCTGCAGTGTACCATTATCCCACCAAGTAGCTGCCTGATACAGACTTCCCCACCCTCACCTGGATAGACCTTCCAAACAGGAAGTCCTTTATCCAGTTGTACATTCTTCCTCCTACCCCCATAATATCAAGCTTGATTAACAACCCCTCCTTCCACATCATATCATACGCCTTCTCCACATCAAAAAAGACAGCTACAACAGTTTCCTTGTTCACCTGAGCCTTCCTGACCTCTGCTTCTAAGCAGAGCACTGGATCCATAGTTCCCCTACCCTTCCTGAACCCACTCTGATTGGCGTTACTAGCCCTCTGCTCTCCAGGAAGTAGTTAGCCTCTCCGTCTTACATACATGTGATGTTAAAGCTATTGGCCGATAGCTTGTTGGCTTCGTTGGATCCTTCCCGGGCTTCCGGATTGGTACCACTACTACCTCCTTCCAACTGCCTGGTAGTTTCCCCTCCTCCCACACTCTGTTGTACAACACCAATACCTTATCCAGTGCCTCATCACTAAGATGGGCCAACATAACATAGCACACCTCATCTTTCCCAGGTGAAGTTAACCCACCCTTACCTATTGCTCTTTTCACCTCTGCCCTGGTAAATGGTGCACTCAACGCATCATTTACATCCTCCCTACTTTCCAGCACTCCAGGATGCTCCTCTCTCGTGTTCTCTCTCCCCCTCTGCCCCTCTGACAGATTTGCGGAGCTATGCACTTGGAAAAATGCTTTGGCCATCATCTCTGCTTTCTCCTAATCTGTTACTGCCACATCCTCCCCACTCGTCAACACTGGATAATCCCACTCCCTTCTGCTGCCTCTCTAACCTGGTGGTCCCTGCACGCACCACCCACGTGGAGTTCCAGGTCTCAGGCAGCCTCTGGAACTGCCGTTCTGCTGCCAACAAGGTAGAGTTCATCTC